AAAAAAAAAAAAAAACACAAAAAAAAAACGGAAAACAGGCCCAGCGACAGCCGCGATTTGGCGCGAAACAGCCGCGATTTGGAGCGAAAAGCCATGATTTGTAGGAGGCCCCTGAATCCGGCCGCCCCCCGACTTAGACCCAAGCCTCGTTTTCCCAAACTAAGTTTGCAGGTGCAGCCGAGAGCCAAGCCAAGGAACCACAGCCGCGAGCAGAAGCCCAACGCCGCGAACCGAAGCCCACAGCCGCGAACCGATACCCACAGCCGCGAACCGAAGTCCACAGTCGCCAATCGAGGCCCACAGCCGCGAACCGAAGCCCACAGCCGCGAACCGAAGCCCACAGCCGCGAACCGAAACCCACAGCCGCGAACCGAAGCCCACAGCCGCGACCCGAAGCCAAAGCCGCGAACTGAAGCCCACAGCCGCCAACCGAAGCCAACAGCCGCGAACAGAAGCCCAAAGCCGCGAATTGTATATCGGTCCTCATCTTGTGCTTGATCACTGTGTGCATGTGAGTGAGAGAGATGGTGGCTGTGGGTATGTGTGTGTGCGCTTGTGTCATGCATGCACGTGATGCAGGCAGCGCGTGCTCTCGAAGCCTCGTGTTCATGATGTTGCATCATGCGTGGTGCATGAGTATGCATAAATGAGCGAATCGATGGTCGTTTTGCCACAGCTATACGGTTGGTCTAGTAGTGTCCGTGCTTGGGGCAATGGCCCTCAAAGCTTCAAAGAAAGAGAAGAAAGAGAAGAAAGAGAACAAAGAGAAGAAAGTGAAGAAGGAAGACAAAACAAAGCCGAAAGTCCCCAAAGCCACGGAAGCCCTGCCTCGCAGGCTCTCCCTGAAGACTTCCCCACGCAGTGCAAAACGCAAGTCGGCCCTGAAAGACAACGCTGGCGAGCCCTGCCCCACGGAGCCCAAGGAGACAAAGGAGCCCCAGCAGCCAAAGGAGCCCCAGCAGCCAAAGGAGCCCAAGCAGCCGAAGGAGCCCAAGCAGCCGAAGGAGCCCCAGCAGCCGAAGCAGGCCAAACCCCCCAAGAGTTCGAAGCCAGGCCCCGCGCAGACCCAGGAGCCCAAGGAGCCAAAGCCGGCCCAGAGCGACCGCAAAGAAAAGAGTGAAACCCCCACCGTTTCTCCAAAGGACTCGAAAGCACAGAAGAAGCAAGAGAAGAAAGAGAAAGCCAAGCAGGAGAAGCAAGACAAGAAAAGAGCAAAAAAAGAGAAGCGAGAGAAGAAGAGCAAGGAAGCAGCGGCCGAAGTGGAGCAGCACGAAGGGAGCGAAGAGGAGACAGAGGTTGCTGCGAGCGAAGCGACCGCCGGCCCACGGAAGAACCTGCTGGATCAGTTTGACACCCAGGACATGAGAGAAAGAAAGAAAAGAGAAAGAGAGATCGGGTGCAGTTCGTTTTTTTTTGTTTGCCCCCCTCAATTCTCCCGCTCTCTCTCCTCCTCTCTCTCTCTCTCTCTCTCTCTCTCTGTTTTCTGTCGTTGCAGGACACGGAAGTCAACCAAGAGTATCTAGAGATGCTCCTGGGTGAGATGGACGAGAGCCCTGCTCACGATGGGAGCGAGAGCAGCGAGAGCGACGAGTCCTCGGATGTCTCCGAGCCAGAAGAGAAACAAGTCGACTCCAGCGAGGAGTCCGACGACGAAGGTGTTTCGAGCAAGGCGCCGGAGTCGAGCCAAGCGGAGAGCGATGACGAAGGGGCCGCGGGCAGCCCCGCTGGCTCCTCCTCTTCCGAGGAGGACGAGGACGAGGACGAGGCAAGCGAGGCCGAGCCTGCAAAGCCTGCAGAGGCCTCCGTTGCGGTTGTGCCAGCGCCGAAAGCAGCGGCTGGCAGTGAAAGCCTGGCTTTGGTGGCGGTGGCGGCCCAGGACGTGACCATCGGCAAGGCCAACAGTGCCGTGGCCGCATCAGGTTTGGGGAAAGGGGGGAAGGGGGGGGGGGGTTCTGTGACGGATGTGTGGCAGTCTGTGCGTGCCTGAGGTACAACCCACAAACGTGAGTGGGACACGTTTACGAGGAGCTGCCAAAACCGGAAAACTTTCCCCGTCGAGCTATCTGATTACTATGAGAAGAACAAGAATGACATGTTCAATTTGTGGTTGCAAAATGGAAAAGACCTCCAGAAGCAGTGTTCTCAGTTGTTGCATCACAAGGCATAGCATGCAGGATTTCCCGGCGTGTTGTTTTAAGTTTCTTGGTTCTGCGATCGCTTTCAGTTGCTCAGGGTCAAAGTGACTGTGGAGCGCATTCGAGAAAAGAAGACCACGGCAAGAGCGGGAGCTCTTGCCATGAAGAAGAGGGACATCGTGAAGACCTACCCCGAGAGAGGAGACGAGCTTTGCAAGAAGCTCAAGACGCAAGGGCGGTACTACTACGACGAGGAGTTCCCGAGCGACAGCGAAGAAATCTTCTACTACGTGCGGCAACCGAGGAAGGTCAACGTGGACACGGTTGTTGGCGAGAAAGCGTCGATGAGTGCCGGCATGAAGGTGGATGACAGCGCTGCCATGGAGACGCTGACCGGAGCGGATGGTGTGTTCGCTGCTGGTGCGTTGCCAGCTATGAAGACTGCAGGCCAATCCGGCGGCAAGGCGCTCGCCGAAGTGTTTGTCGAAGAAGCAGCAAAAGAGAACAAGAAGCCCAGCAAAAAGAAAAAAGGCGAGCAGACAGAGGTGGTCGAACCGGCCACCGTCAAGGACAAAGCCGAGGAGATCGCCAAAGAGATGTTGAAGATGTCAGCGGAAGCCCGCAAGCTTTCTTTGAAGCTGGATGGGATTGATTACAGCGGCAATCTCTCCACAGATTTGGCAGCATTCTCGAAGGAGTGCGAGGGGCTTTTCACAGATGTGCAAAAAAGGCTGCGCAAAAAGAAGCACAAGAAGCGTGATAAGCGAGCATTCGCTGAGTTTGTTGCTGAGTCTGAAAGAAAGATCGAATGGTGGAAGAAAGCCGAGGCCCCCAGGGTATTTTACTATACTATAGTTACTATAGTCATGAGTTCCCATATATAGTATTCCCTAAGCCTCTGTGTGCCTCTTGTTGTTTCATGTCAGGCCGCGGGCAAATCTTTTGCCTCAGCAGCCAACAGAAAGGAGAAGAAAGCCAAAGCCAAAGCATCGCCCAAAGAGGGCAAGGACACATCCGAAACGAAAGCGTGAGCTGCTGTCGCAGATTTTCATGTGATCTGAAGTGATGCACAGAGCCTGTGAAGCTCGTGGGTGGGTTTTGTAACTCCCCTCATCCATGAGCATCAGTACACCAGTAGCTACTCTCCGTCGGGCGAGCACACATGAGCTTCGTAGATTTTGCTCTTAAGCCATCCAGACCTTTTGCTGTCGACTTTTCGAGTGACGACTCAAATCGGCTGCGCTGCAGTTTGTTGAAGCGTTTAGTGCATCACTGCATCAGATAAACTGTGCCGCATCTCAAGAATGTATGTGCTATCGTCCCACGCAGGCACGGCTAGTGCTGAACTCGCGACGAGGCCGGGGCAGGGTGTAGAGGTTTATGGCGTCAGGATGCAAACCCTCTGGGAGAATAAGGCTTTTGGCCAATCTTGTCGTTCGCATGAAAGTGCAGCCTTTAAGGCTTGTGATGTGCTGGCTCTATGGACACTTATGGTTTGGTTGCCCCTAAATACCCTAAACCCTAAACCCCTAAACCCTAAACCCGAAACCCTATAGGGTGCGGGCTTCAAAGATTCCGCGGGCCAAGACTTTTCCAGAGCTTGGGGTGTAGGGTTTAGGGTGGACTTATGGCTTTGGTTATGGCATAGGGCTTGGGCTTCAAAGGTACCGGGCCAAGACTTTTCCAGAGCTTGTGGGTTTAGGGTTTAGGGGCGACTTATGGCTTTGGTTATGGCATAGGGCTTCAATGGTTCCGGGCCAAGACTTTTCCAGAGCTTGTGGGTTTAGGGTTTAGGGGCGACTTATGGCTTTGGTTATGGCATAGGGCTTGGGCTTCAAAGGTTCTGGGCCAAGACTTTTCCAGAGCTTGTGGGTTTAGGGTTTAGGGGCGACTTATGGCTTTGGTTATGGCATAGGGCTTCAATGGCTCCGGGCCAAGACTTTTCCAGAGCTTGTGGGTTTAGGGTTTAGGGGCGACTTATGGCTTTGGTTATGGCATAGGGCTTGGGCTTCAAAGGTTCTGGGCCAAGACTTTTCCAGAGCTTTAGGGTTTAGGGCTTAGGGGCGACTTATGGCTTTGGTCATAGCGCAGGGCTTGGGCTTCAAAGGTTCCGGGCCAAGACTTTTCCAGAGCTTGAGGGTTTAGGGTTTAGGGGTGTTCCAGAGCTTGAGGGTTTAGGGTTTAGGGGTGTTCCTTAATGCAGTATAAATCCAAATGTGTCTACAGTTACCAACACTGTCCTCAGTGTTCCTTGCTACTTGGAGGTTCATGGGTAGTTATAAGTGGGGGTTATAAGTAAGGTAACTATAGTTATAACCTATTTTAGGGTATATAAGCCCACTTATAACTAGCCGTGAACCTCCAAGTATGGTGATGTCTGGCAACACAGGCTGAACTTCGAAATAGTCGAATGCACCAAGTAAACCCTATACGACCTCAAAATCCCAAACCCCAATATGCTAGACCAAACCCTTAAACACCTACTTATTGCACCCCGAAATAGACTTTTTCGAAGCTTTGGGGTATGCTGCGTGTCGGATACTCTTGGCTATCTGGGCCTATACTCAAACTACGGACAAATTAAATCATGTTCTGTGTTTGAAATATAATGGCAACCACTCGGACCCCGAGATTCAGCACCAAAGCAATCAAGCCCAACAGCTTCCAAATCATGCCCCTCCCTCCCCCACCACCGCCCCCGAAGGTCAAACGGGTCACCACGACAGCGCGATCGCTGCTTGAAGCTTGGGCTGGTTATTCTGGGGGTAACATCAACGGCCTATCAATATAGGCTGCTCCCGACTGCTCTGGGTTTTAGTTTAAGTTTTACAGTACGGTTGGGGTTGTAGGGTTTTTGGGCCTTCAGTTGTGGGGTTTCAATTTTAAAGTTTATAGTAGGGTTGGGGTTGTAGGGGTTTTGGGCTTTCAGGTTTAAGTAAGCCTTTGGGTTGTACGGCCTTTTTGCGGTTAAATGTTTTAGGGCCTGTGTTGTCATGCAAGGCATGACGTTGAAGGGTTTGTTGGCGTTCTAGAAGGCTTCAGGATGTTTGAGGCGCCAACAGTTTCTCGGAAAAAAACTCCAAGAACTCAACATTCAAATCCCGAAACACTATACCTCGGTAGCCCACGCGATTCTACACCCTCCCAACCCTAAAGCCTACAGCGCGCAAAGACACCCAGGAGCTTTACAAAAGGCTATGCCGAAGAAAGGCCTGATTCGAAATTTCGATCCAATGTTTATTGTCATTCCAACATTGGAGCGGGAAGGGGTTGATCTTGGTGTTTTCTTGCGCAAGAGTGCAATGGTGGTCGTTCGATCTATACACAGCATGAATGTCACCCATTATGCAACTCAATACTACAATTCTCCATGCAGCTTCGCGGCTTGTTTCTATTCAGACAGAAGGAAGCCCAACTTAAAGGTGCACTCCATGCATAGCCGATATCAACAATATAGTCGTGGTAATCCTGGTGTATGTAATATTTAAGGCTGTCAGGGTTTAGGGTTAGGGGCTTCAGGGATGTAGGGCTTAAGGTTTTTTCAATTTCGCGCATTCGCCCGGAGGTCACTGAAGCGAACCCGCTACGAAGATCTTCCCAGAAGCCGAGAAGCCGAGGAGTTTATCCGACACTTTGCTTCATTGGCTGTGCTGCGTTCAGCTTTCTGAGGTCACAAAGTTGCAATGTGACACACAGACTTTGTTTAAGGCCTGATCGGGTCTGGCAAAATCCATGTCCATACGGTGGCTGAAATTGCACGGGCGCAGTTACTAGACGCGCCCCAGCTGCCGAGCATTGCGATGTTCGCGTCGCTTGGCAATTATGGTCTCCAGAAAGGACACGAGGAAAGGGATCTACATCGGTGGCTGCAAAACCTGCATGGTGTAACATTGGAGCCATATTGGACCACCGTGCGGCTGCAGGCACACAGTTTTCGCTTGCGGCAAACAATCTCACGGGTGTCTGCTTGATTTGCACGCGCAGGAAAGCTCCTCCGTGGCACCATCTCCGGTGCAAGTGCCGGTGCTTCTCCCGCACGAGATCCTGCATGCTCTTGCTTGCGCAGGACCTGCTCAGGCACCAGGGACAGTCCATGGCAGGAGTGTGTTTCTTGCACAGTCTGTGCTGCTTGAGCATCCTCCCTGAAGTTCGCAATCTCCATGACGGGACATCGCGACGATTCAGCAGTGCGAGAGTTCTGGGAGCATTGCAAGGGCCTTCCTGAATACGAAGACCATCCGGCCCTGCAGCTTGGAATCGCACTCGAAAGACACTGGTCTGCAAGTGTTGTGCTGCCTCAAATCAAACCAATGAGCCAGAGCAAGCCGAGCTAGGATTGCTGCCCTTCACCTTTCATTGCGACGGAGCAGAATTCTACAGCAATTCCGAGTTCATGGTGTGGAGCTGCTCTTCCATCTTCGCGACCGGAGATGTGACTTTCACGCAAGAATTGTAATCGCAGGCAGCCGTTGCAAGACGTGAGACCACGAGTGCAGCTCAGGTCTGGGATATCAAATTCCCATGCGTTGTCATTCCCCATGAGTTCATGGCTGACAATGCTGTGGCTTGGCTGGAATTCAAAGAGCAGCGATTGGCTTTTGCTGATGCGAAGTATCGGGCAGGTTCGGGACGATGTCCATCGTCACGTGGCTAAGCTCCTGGCTTGGTCCATGGAGTATGCCCTGCAGGGCAAGGGCCCAGAAGTGGGATTCCACAACGAGACCTTCGAGAAAGGTTCCCTTCGCCACAAGTTGGCAGGTGCGGACATCGCGAGCGGCTGGAGGCATTCTGAGAGTTTTGTTGACATGTTAAATGCAGAGTTCGGCGCACGTCTTCCCGTCAGTGTGCCCGACGTGACAGGGCGACATACTTCTCGATGAAATACGATTTGAAGGCCAGAGTGCAGTGCAACCTCTTCACGAGGCACTACGGCTGCAATATGGTCTGCGAGTCATGCTTTGCTTGCAAGCCGGCAAAGACAACAGAGCCTGCGCTGAATTATCGAGACTTCACTCTGTCTGCCGGCCACCGGTTGACCCGCTTCAACCATCGTGGCTACTTGGCCATGACGCCCCCGGACGAGCTATCGCCGTGGACAATCATGAAGGGCTGGACTCTGGAAAGCTGCACTCGCGACATAATGCATGTCATATACCTAGGAGTGTGCCGAGATCTCCTCGGGTCAATCTTGGCAGACTGGCTGGATGCAGGTTTGTTGCCAGCTGCAGCAACGCTTCAGGACAGATTGAGGATGCTATCCTTAGAGATGCATGCCGCCTGCAAACGAGCGAGGCAACTTGTCTGCAACTCTTGCCCATTGTCTGAAGCTGTGCCGCAGCTGCAGCTGATGATGCGGGCATTGTCCAAGGATTAGCTTCCGGAGGAAATTCTTCACTGCTTCGAACACAGGCTTGGCTACCGCCGCCTCCGACTACGCGGAAATGAGCACAACCTGGAAAGCTGCAGAGCTCAAAATCGTTCTCTGGTTTCTTACAACGAAAGCTGTGCAGTACAATGCCGACACGGACGATTCGTGGCTGCATGAATTGTGTATATATAGACACACAATCCGCATACAACCGATAAAGTCTTCCAGCATGAATTAAGGATCCTGTGCTGCGGGCTGGCACTGCGTGCATTTGGTCGTTGAATGAAGGATTGTCGGCCATGGACCAGCACGACATCATCATGCCGCAGGCAGAAGCGTGCCGCTGCGCAGACTTGCTGAGGCGATCCCTTGTGCAATGGCAGTTCTTGGCTGGCCACTTCCGCTCCATCGAGAAGAAGCGGTGGAAGATACGACCAAAGCATCACGTTCTAGATCATTTGTGCGATGAAATTGGAAGGACCCAGCTGAATCCTCGCTTGGCCTGCTCCTGTTTCCAGGAGGAGTCCTTCCTCGGACATCTCAAACAGATTGCAATCCGCTGCTCTTCGCCGCGAGTGATGGAAAGGGTCTTTCAACGCTTGATTTTGTTGTGGGCCCTGAGATGGCAGCACACACGTGAGCGAGAAGCGGAAGTGGAACACC